GTAAGCGGATGCAAGTTCTCCGAAATCCCTTCATCAAATTATGACTAAAACCACTCACTGACATTTCCTTGCAAATAATGTACTAATACTAATGCGTTTTCACTTCTGCACTACATACAGCTCGAAACAGGGTGGTGTTCTTTCCTGGCCACCACTTGTAACTTAGAAGGGGACCGACCATTCTCTGACTTCTTAGGCCTATGCAAGCCAGAGACAGTACGGTGGTTTTAAGAGCTGTACCTTATCTTTAAAAAAACCTTTTTGTTAAAAATAAAATCTTTAAAAACGTATATTGAAAAAATTAAAACTCCCTTTTATATGCTACACTTTCATTTTGAAAAGAGGCAGTCACCCTAATACACAAGATTCTGCTATTTTCCTGCACAAGCGTCACTTTGTGAGCATTACAGCTTTGTGTAGTGTGTACTAACTACGGAAAATAAACTGCAACGAAAACGTTTCCTTTTAATTATCCTCACAGAAATATGTCTCGGTGGCGTCCTAACTAACGCTAGCACCAATTTTGACCGCTATGTGAACAAATGCATTCCGCCTGTTGAAGGTATCATCATTTTCAAAACGCAAGGGTATGAATGTACTTAATGCCGCTCAATTTTGCCACACTTGAAAATGGTTAAAGTGGTCGATTTTATTGTACCCTATGGTAAGTATTATGTAAATTTTAGCACAATACTTTTGCATCCCAATAATACTAAGTTTTTAAAGGCCACAGTACGATCCCATTTCGAAAGGCACACGCACCCGTGTATGAATGTGCATAATTGTGAGCAAATTTTAAAATGTCAGGAAGCATCCAGACGAAACTATTTGCGGACAGCGGTTATTCTCACTTTTCTGGCTCCCACCCGCGTCATCTAATTGTCCCTAATGAGTACGCTTTGTTTGCATAATTGGGAGAAAGGATAAAGCACAGAAGCCATTACTCCCAACTCTCTGCCCGGGGCTGCAAAGCGCTTCCAGCTACACTCCTCACCGCAGCGGGGACCGGATCCCCGCCCGGCCAGACCGCCCGCCCCGGGCGCCGCCTCCAGGCCGGGCCTCAGCCAGCACCCCCGACCCCTGACTCTCACCCCGGGAGGGGCCGAGCGTCCCCGCCGCCCTCCCGAGCCGTGCACCCTCACTGCCGGTCGCTCCCCCCTCCCCCCCGCCTCCGCCGCCCCCGCGCCCCGCCCGGCAGCTCACCTCCCCAGGTCCCCGACAGCCAGTCCTCCAGCCACACCACCCGCCCAGAACCCGTGGCCCAGAGACCAGCTCTCCGTCGGCCCAGGTCGCGCACGCGCGCCGCCGCCCCGCGTCTCGGCGGCCGCTCTAGGAAGCTGGGAGGGCCAACGTCTCGCCTTCTCCCTGGCGCCAGCGCGGTGCTCAGCTGCCTGTGAGCCGCCTGACCTGTCCTCAGCAACCCTGTCTTCCCCTCTGGGCGCCTGCCCTCCACTCTCTGAAAAGAACAGCTTTAAATCCAAATGACAGCCCTGCCTTAGTTTAAAGCTAAGTTCTCTTTTCTGCTTATTATGGATCTTTGATAAGAAATACAATTGCTGAGAAGTCTGTTTTGCTTGCTGTTTGCTACAAGCATTGTGAAAACTTTCCTGAATGTAACCCACTATGTAATAGAATAAGTTGTGAAACTTCCTAAATGTAGTCTGGTATGTAATAGAATAAGTGATTGTACATGAACTAACCGGCATTTCTCGCTTCTGTAAACCTGCTTGCTTAACATATTTTCCCCTTCCCCTTGGTTCCTCAGGTACTTGAGAAAGGGGAGAAATGAGAGACCTGGGCAAACTGTTTGCCTAGTCTTCCTGGTCTGTGAAAAACAAACTTAGCTTAAATCCGCTTGCTTAACCAGCTTGTTCCGCTTCTGTACAACTGCTTGGCGTAACCGAGTATTCTTGACCAATCATTAAGACACCCACACCCCAGTTGTGATTTGACCTAAAGGCGGGGACCAATTAAATTCTGCTAAGTGTTTAAATTAAGATATCACCCAATAACCGCTCTGTAACCGCGGAATCCCTAACTTCCCCATAACTTGTTTGTACCTGTCTATAAAAAGGCTGTAAAAACCTCACTCGGGGCCTCTTAGTATCACCGGCAACGAGTGAGCGGAGGTCCAGGTTCGAACCTGCAATAAACGACCCTTCCGCTTGGCTTTGACTTACAGCTCTGGTGGTCTTTTGTGGGAGGTTTCGGAACTTCGGGCATTACACTCTCCAATGCCCTGTCAGGCCCCAGCGCTCTATCAGTCTTGCCCAATTTGCCCACATCCCCTCCAGCGTCTCTGCCTGGCTGCCCTCCAGGCCTCCGCCCGCCAGGGAAGACTAGGATCCAAAACTAGGGGGGCAAAATAGCGAGCGCCAAGACCTAGCTGACTGGTTCTGGCCAAAGGGAGAGCTATTATGGGGGCCGCTCGAGACTCCAGGAGGACCTCTTCTCCCCATCACACCACATCTAGGGATACTTGCTGATTTCCAGCCACAGGCACACAAACCTGTGCCTTCCCATGCCCCCCATTTATTTTTTCCTGAACAAAATTTTAATCCTGAGTGCATTTTAAAGATCTTTCTGGCTTTTATTCAGCAATTCCCAAATCGGGAAGCATCCAGTCTAGCAGATAGAATGGAAAGAGCTGGAAGAACTAACTATACAATGCTAGAGATTTCACAGGCAGAAGGGAACAGGAAAAAATTAGATGAGGCAAAAAGGTAGATTGGTGATTGCGGCGTTACTTTCCTTAAGGGGATGCCAGGGTTTCATCAGGTAGATTACCTAACTAAAGTAATCAGGAAATTCTTGTTTGACTTGTTAAGGACAGCGAGCCCCAAATGGAGTCACTTATGCTAAGAAAAATCTTCAGGAGCCCGCCTATGAGGAAGGAAAACTGAGACAAATCTTTATTTAGGTTTGCAAACCAGGAAGGGCAACTCAACTCAGTGGGTGTGCCCATCTGAAGAAGACAAGGGGAGATGGTATTTTTAAGGCTTAAACCCACACTGGGAGAAAATTTTCACTGGGCATGGGCTCCTCAGTGGTTGGCTGACCTTTTTTTGCTCAGTATTGTGAGATGGGAGGACTTTTCAGGTGTCTAACCCTCAAGATGCTTATCATGATTCCAAGAAAGTTCTGCTCTTCTAAGGACTCCACAGAACAGTGGCTGTTGCAAGATGGAGTCAGAGTTGTCAACCCCTTCCCTGGCCCCCTCTCTTCTTCCCCCTCATGTCACCGAACTGAACTTAGTTGCAGTTTTGGCTGTTCCACAAACAGAATCTGAAACCAATCAGGAATTTCCCGATCTGCATAGTTAGGTAATCGCTCTGATAAGAACCCCTGCCATCCCCAGAAGAAAAGTAGCCTTGTAATAACCAATCCACCTGTTTGTCTAGTGTAACATTCTTGTTTCTGTTCCCTTCTGTCTATGAAATGTATTGCCTTGTACTGCTCTCTGAAGCTTCTTTCTATCTGCTAGACTGTATGTTGCTCGATTTGTGAATCACTGAATAAAGCCAATTATATCTTTAAATTTTGAATTTTGTTCTGTAACCAACTGGTTTCAGATTCTATTTCTGGGAGACCAAAATGCAAGTAAGTTACCAAAACTGTTAAGTCTTATTTTGGTAATGGGGGGAGGGGGGAGGCGGCATAGCATATGCAACTCCATTTTGGTCCTGTTGTCTTGTCTTTAACAATCACCCCATTTTAGTCAGACTCTCAGCCTAACAGAGATGTGAACAAAATTTAAGACATTAATGCACTACTCCCAGCTATACCACTCTGGAGTTCTCACAGTTTTGGTTGAATCTCTGTGTGGTAATCAAAGGCCACAATGTCAGGTTCACATTCTTTAAATTGATTATTCTCTCTGTTACTTTTCTAACTTTGAAAAAATTTTTTAATGTTTTATTTATTTTTGAGAGAGAGAGAGAGAGATGGAGTGTGAATGAGGGAGGGGCAGAGAGAGAGAGAGAGTCAGAGACAGAGAGGGAGACACAGAATCCAAAGCAGGCTCCAGCCTCTGAGTGTAATGCCCAAAGCTCGAGAGACCCCAAAGAACGAACCACCAGAGTCCAGAGTCAAAGCCAAGCGGCAAGGGCCGTTTATTTCAGGTTCGAACCTGGACCTCCGCGCATTCACAAACAGTGAGGCTCCGAGGTCCTGAGGGGAGTTTGAGCAGGCTTTTTATAGGCGGAGGTAAACAGTTTGGGGGATTTCCAGTCAGCGGGGGAGTTGATTGGTTGACATTAAGCTGGGGGGGGGGTACGGGTAATGCACTGATTGGGCAGGAGTTCGCGGGCGCACCAAGCAATTGTACAGAAGCGGAACAGGCTGGTTAGGTTTCAGTTTCCCGTAATTCAAGCATTGTACAGAAGCGGAACAAGCTGATTAAATTTCAGTTTGCTTAAGCTTCTCATGAGCTGTCAGCACAGAGCCCGACGTGGGGCTCAAACCCACGAACCGCGAGATCATGACACAAGCTGAAGTCAGAGGCTTAGTTAGCTGAGTCACCCTGGTGGCCTGTGACTTTGTAATATTAGGGAGATGATTTCCTTAGTGGTTAGTGGATGCAAGCATGCCTTTAAAGCTTTGAGTGAACAGAGTGCATCAGGGGGACTACTATGGTTACCAAAGGTAGAATACCTCCCAGTGTCTGGAGTGCACTTTGGAGTCATGGTGCTCAAGACACAAACCAATCAAGGTCAAATAAATGACCCAGTGAGGAAGACCTCACTGAAGGAGTCGCTTTCTTAAACCAATTGGCTGGGTGAGTGATCTTATTGTAGCTGAGACTCACCCCTCCCTAGAAGCATTCGTCCAAGTGCAACCAGTAGTGTTGGCTACAGCACAAGCACCTCCCTGCACAGCTAAAAGGTAATGAAGGGCTATTCTAGTATGGGGAACAACTCTGGCCAGAGTGTTTAGGGATTTTTGTTGGGCAGTTCTGCTTTAGCAGTAGATTCTGGAATATCTTCAAGAGTTAAGTAGAGGTTCATGATCATAGCCTCATCTGCACTCTAGCTCCTAGAGATCCACCAAAAGAAGCAAATTCTGAATCGTGAATGCTTTCTGGCAATTCCTATTTGTTTCAGCAACACAGAGTGAGGGAAATTGACCAGTGAGGTGTTCCAGTTTCATAGTTGGCAGTTTAGCGGTTCAATTAGATAACCCCAAAGGCACTGCCCGGTTAAGTGCCAGCCATCTAGGTATTCATAAGCCAAAGAAATATGCTTTTCCTCAAAACCACCACAGACAAAAATAAATGCTGCTGGGACACACGCTGCTCCCATCAAAGTATTATTATTAATGAATTTATTCACTAGGACTTTTCATTTGCCCAGGTAAGCCATGGATCAGTTAGGCTTTCACTGCACTTGGGAAGGTAATTTCTTGTTCTAAAATAAAACATAGTTCTAAGCTCTTTGGAGAGTGGGTGCATGTGGAGAAAAGTGCAGTTCTAGGCCGGAGCAGTTTGGGTTTAGATAATCATAAGAACGTCATTGTAAAAATGTACTATACTGATGTTTTCAAAGTGTCCCTGCCTGTCTCAGTCCATACAGTTATGGCAGAAGAAAGGTTAAAGCAAAGGCGCTGAATGTTCTGGACTCTGCAGGTGGCTTTGGTTGCCGTTTATGGTTTCATTGGGAATGGAAGAAAAATTGGTCACAGGGAGGACCAGGGGGGCTCCAGCATCAGGGACAGATGGGAGGGTTTTGATGACAAAGAGAGCAGTCTGAAAGGTTATCCCCTTTAAGAGTGGCTTGGGAGATGTGGGTGATGCCATCTTTCCAAGCCAACGCCAACATGAAAGAGAGAAAGAGAAAAAGAAAGGCTTTCACGTTTGAGGCTAGTGAAAGTATGAATTCTTGCTCTGGTGTCTTGAAAGGAAACTGTCTACCACATGAAATCATCAGCTTCCTGGGCAACTTGGCTTTAAGGTCACCAGTGCAAGAGGAGGACCAAGTATCAGGAGGATCCTTTTCAGCTGGGAGATGTGTGCCCCAAAGTTCAGTGCTTTCTAGTTTTTCAGAAGTATTGGTTATCAGGAGCACTTGGTAATGTTCCCTTCCAACAGGGCTCAGGGACCATGTTCCTCTGGGGGCTTTTCCAAAATACCAAATCATGAACAAGAGGATATTTTGAATTGGGGATATGGAAGAGATTCTGAACCTGGTGTTGAGAGGTTTTAGCATGAGACACTGAAAGAGTGGACCTAGGCCGGCCGACTCCATTTTGTTCTGTGTCCTCCATCTTGAGTGACTGTGTCTCCGACATGGCCCCCTTCCCGAGAAAACCGCAGAAAGAAATTCCCG